ATACCCTCTAACCAGTATACAGCCATCTCTGTACAATACCCTCTAACCAGTATACAACCATCTGTACAATAATACAACAACAAACACAATCAGTTCCACACAAATTTAAATTATGCAATATTTCTCAATTATCACATCTGTGAAGACATTGTTTTACTCTTGTAAAACATTGTGAAATAAATTTATAGGAAACCTGAACAGCGAGATCACCAGGTGAGTTGGCCAATTAACAAATTAAGTCTATAAATCAATCATTATCAGAAAACAGCTACATGCCATAGATAGAAGCATTAATACATCTTGTATATCCATCCATTTGTCCAAGTTATCATTGTCCTGGGACATTTTCCTAAAATGACTCCTGATTATTTCTGCATATTACAAATTGATTTGGTTAACCAACATTCTTTATATGGGCCTTTCTTCTTCAGTCTTACAGAAGAAATTTCTGGTTTTCAGTGTCACCCTCGTATCAAGTTACTCTCAATTATCAGTGCCAAGCTCATGTTGGGCAAAACTTGTTCAAAGAATCCCCCAACCCAAAATATTTTGTATATGCCTTCTGTGTGATATCTTTGTAGAATTGAAAAAGTTCAAACACATCCTTTCTTTGCCAATCTTATAAGATATCCTTAGACAAGAAAAAAAATCCTCTCGATTCCTTTACAACGAATCCATAGATCATTAAATGATCACTTCAAAAAGAGTTCTCAGAACTGGTATATTGTTTTATGGTAATCCAGGTCTCTGATATATCCGTTAGTCTGTAGTGGTGATCTCCACTTGCTGTCACATATCAATCTATCCATAGTGCTTTTGTAAGAGAGGTGCTTCCGTAGCACAAGTATGTTTTTAGGGTTCTATGTGTGTACATGTGTTTTTGTGACAACACCACTTACCTGCAGCGAGGACCAGAAGAACAGCCAATATTCAACCATTTCAAGATATTATTTAGCAACAATTTTTATAAATTTGTTTTACCAGTGCAAACGGGTCATTTTCCCCGAACAGATTTCTGATTTTCTCAAAAAAATAATTTGAAATATCTTAATCTTTATGGAAATAGTAAATTTTGTAAAGAACATGTCCAAATATTCTTAATTGCAATGTACTTTGACTGCATTAGCTCATTGAGAAATAGTTAAACTGTGTTGAGGAGTTCAAACGTCCATTATCAATCTGTAACTGGTCAGATGTTTTCTGTTGTCAATAAATGTGTTCATGACTTGCGATATCGAAAGAATTACCCATCTTCCCCTTTCTCTCAGCAATGTATACATCCTGACCATCTCTAGACATGATAGAATAGGGTCAACATCTTTTCAAGTTCCATTACATCAATTTCATGTACCCTTGCCACGACTAGAGCTTGCTGCTGGGTATCAGTTGGTAATGATGGCATCTGGGCCTGACAGCCATCGTCAGTGTTCTTTATACAGGGAGCTATGTAAATCTATCAAAATCTTACATGTTCTTTAAAATAGGATACACCTTTTTCACTATGACTTCTGACCCATAAAAATTCAACCGACTTCCTTTTTTTTTGTTTTTGACTTCAGACAAATACATTTTTATTGACTTCTGACCAATATAACTTTATTTGTGATGACTTCTGACCGGGATATATTCAATAAATTGATGTGGGGGTCACAACCTACAAGGGAGGTAACTAGCATACTGGAGATTGAATACCAACTGTTCTACTGTTCCTCTACACCAGTCCACTGCTCTTCTCTTAACAATTATGGCAAACGTTCCAACAGTTCAAACATAGACTACCTTTATCTTCAAATATATATATAATAAACCATTTTTTTCACAACCATTTATTATTTTTTATATGTCCAAATTTCAGTCTTTGCCAATATTTATATGGATATTTATGTTTGAACAGCTGGAACTTTAAAGCACCAAACATTTTTATAACATTCAAATTCAACAACGGCAAGACTGAAGTCCTTCCAAGCTAAAAAATCTTTGTTGCCGCAGTATAGTTCAAAATTTTACACTTATCTCTAGACATCTTTCAGCTAAAATTTATTTTAGCATACACTTTTAAATCATAAAGAAAAAAAATCCTTTTTGCTATCTTTCTGTTTGAACTGTAGAAACTGTTAACCAGATTTGTTAGCTTGGATGACCCTTAACCTTTTCCCCTCTTTCCTCTGGGATGCTCAGGAACTGTAGTCGAGCCATCCACAGCAGTACATCGAGGAGACAAGATTAATGAAGAGCAAACTATACACCACAATATCTAGCATCAATATGTTGTGTCATGAAGAAACTTTATGTATAAATGTATACTGTTGAACCTTGTTTAGTCCACGTTTTTTTCCCAAATTCTGATGAAAAAACTAGACATCATCATATATTTTCTTGACAAGAAAAATGTCACACACAGACACGACTAACAAGGTACCACAGAAATGTGTATTGTTTATATGTATTTCTTTTTACAAGTGTTTGTTTTGTGAGATTCCATCGATCCATGCCAGGGTGATAATTCATTTACTGTACATCCTTGTCCAAGATTTCCACCTGAAGGACTGACAAATGCTTGGCTGTTGAAACCCTCCCAAATCCTTCCTTGGTTGTTATCACACAGCTAAAAGCTGCTCTCCCGTGCAGTCATTTTTCAATTCATGAAAACTGCATTCTTTCAAACATTTGACAGCAATGTTTTTTGTTTATTCATGTTTTGTTTCTTTTTTTTTTTCAATTTCATTTTCACAGATCATTTCGTCATTGGTCAGAAACCAATTCCTAAAAATGTCCGCCACAATAAACAGGCCATGATGAAGGACAATCGGAGACCTAGACAACACTGTAAATACACATCCCTTTTTTTCTTTCAAACCAGCTCTTAAACTAAGAATAACCGACAGTCAAAATCTTCATCATGAATACAAATAGTGTTTAGTTTGCTCAACGTATCATGTCTGCCCATTAAAAAACATCAACACTGTACCAAGAATGATATGAAACTATCTCACCACAGACAACAATGGTCACCTTCATCTTGAACCATTAAAGTGTTATATGTAGAATGAGATATCATCAAGTTAGTTTCAAAATCCTTGGTACTCAACAATGCACCAAGCAAATTCACTCCTTACTTACCAAATGATACATAATATACAAAACTATCATCTGTTATTATCGTAAACATCTTTTTAAAAATTTGATATTTTTTTCTTTTGCAAAAAAGTTTCTTTTCATGAATTTCCTTGGTGCATTTATTCAATTATATTTTGGCAAAGGAAAATCTGTACCTTGTTTGTCCAATCAATATCTTGAACAAATAATTCACAGGAATTTCCTAAATGAATAAGTACCTTGTATGAGAACAATGAAAATACCTATGGCTTGTATGCTTGTTAAAACTAAAGTTTTGTGCGAAACTTATCTAGAAAGGACTCTGCCAAAAAATTTGCAAACATTAAAATGTAAACAAAAAAAACAAAAAAAATAAAGAAAATCTTTTGGAAATGATTATCAGAAACAAAAGTTAAGTTTTTACTTTGAAACAAACCTGTAAATTAAGTTTGGTTGTAAAAATATCACCAAAACAAACAAATAAAAAGATGTATATTTTTGCTAGATTTTTCCACATAAAAAGGACAAAGAACAAGATCCAAAGGAAAAATAAGATGAATGCTGGCTCTTAGTGAAGTAATATGATAAGAATTTATATTCTGCAATTATTATCAAATATTAAAAACTGGGAGCATATCTATGAACGAAGTTTTAAAGGGGAAGATGCCTGATTAGGGAAAAAAAAAAAAAAAAAAACATGATTTAAGATTACCTACAATTATTATTGCTACATTCTCTAGTTCTTTTTTGTTTGGAAAAAAAGGGAAAACTCAGCAGCTAAAGAAAATATCTGACCTTTGAATACAAGTCAGACACTTGGAAAATTATGGGGCAAATGTTAATATGTTCTCATACAAGATAAATGGATTCCCAAAAAATAGTCACTTTCCTCATCATTGATGAAATTTGAAACCTTTATACATTAAGGTATAATCAGAGTCCTTCAATAATGTTTCCATGTCTCACAATTCTTAAAAATCTTCTGAATTCGAATTATTTCTTAAAAAGAGAACGGTAGTTATAAACACGGAATAAACTTAACCCTACCAGCTGCATTTCTCCCCCTCCAATTAAAAGAAAAAAGATTATCCCTATTTCATGCTTTGTTCATTTTCCACACCCACAGACCCAATAACTGTAAAGTCAATATAGACTTAATTTGTCAAAATCATCAAAGTATAATTCCAATTTCATATAAAAAAATTTTTTTTGATGTCCAAATTTAATTCAATAGCTGTAGCAAAGACCAACATATCTTGCACCAGAATACACCTAATGCACTGGATATTCATATTTCATCAACTTAAGAAACTGAACTATTTTGGGATTAGTAATACTAGCTTTTTCACAAGAATTATCACAAACCAGACATTGACAAATGAACATTGTGCTAATGGTATAATGTTCCTCATATTCCATTCCAGTTAATGAAATTATTTTTCTTTTGAATGTTCATTGTAACGAGAATGATAGAATAGAAACTTGTATAATTGTCTGGGTAATTGGAAGTAAACATTCTGTTGTTAAAATCATCGCTTCAGTCCATGCTTCACAAGTTTCATTTTCTATCAAATTTTGCAGTATTGGTACGCTTCCAAATTCACTCAACTTTAAAACAGTAATTTTGATATCTTAATGAAAATAACTTCAAAAATATTTTGCTTCCCCCTCCCCCTCTAAAAAGTATGAATGCCAAGGTTGATTACCCCCTAAAAACCTTAATTATCGAACAGAAACTTTTATATATTTGATTTTTGTCAGATTTATAACTATTTATATCAGTTTAGACGGAATGGCATGAAACAATAATTTCACAGCAGAATTCAAGGTTTTGTCACTGGTCAATGCTTCTATTTGCTAAATTCTATGGAAAAAGCCAAAATCAAATTGAGTAAGACACCTACCTTTTGCCCCGCCTGGGTCCATTTGACTCATATCTCCACCTTCATTTGCCGATTCCTCGCGTGCCCATTCCTCAAGTGCTTCGTCGTGATCATTGTCGCTTTCCTCGCCAGTTCCTGAATGCATTGTCATTGTTCCGTCGGGTGGCATGTCAACATACATGTCCAACCCTCCTGTGTCATCTTTGTCCTGACCTTCGACCTTTACTATACTGATGTCTGGGGTCATTTCAGCAGTACTTGATGGCGAAGGCTCCTGCTTTTCTTTAAAGCTGAAAAAGAGTCATCTTACAAATTCAATGCCTGTGATAATAAATTTTATATCAATAATACATTAAACAAAAAAACCAAAAAAAACTTATGTAGATGTAATACTTCGTAAACAATTTCAAACATATACATTAAAATAATAGTTATTTGCAGTCCGATCTATCATGTAAATTCCTTACCCTTCTTTTTTTTAAGTATTTGGACAATCTAAACCCTGAAGTATATATATCAGTTTCATAAAAGATTCCAGGATGTACAAACCTGGAAGGATCCTTGCCACTGTCAACCACTGGTGATGCTCTTTCCACATTATCGCTCTGTCCTGCACTACTGCCTTGTGACTGGGACCTGCCTATGTGAGCTGGCTGGATGGGTGTGGACGTGGGCACTGCCATTGGAGAACCCATTGGCTGACTGCTTGGGGACTGACTGGCACTTCCTACAGCAAATGATGGCTTGGAGGAAGCCCCTACTGGAGACAAGGACACAGGGAAGGGTTGGCGCTGGGATTGTGAACTGCTAGTGCTGGCAGAAGCTTCAGACATTTTGCCAGGCTTTGGGACTTGCACCAGTTCTAGGTCTGAACTCCCGAAATTTGGAATATGAAACAGTTCTGGAGCTCTTTCTTGGCGGAATGAAGGACCTGGCATCTGATGTGAAGACATTTCTGGCATTCTATGCATGGCACCAGATGATGCAAATGACTGCTGAAGGGATGTTAATGGAGATGAGGATGAAATGGACTTTTGTTGGAATGAATCCTGTAATGTTTGTGATGAACTCTTTGATGAATTTGTGGTAGAAGTGGTGTTGCTGCCGTCTCTGTTACTTCCAGTAATATTCACAACACGAAGATCAGTACTGTCTGTGATTTGACTAGCTATAGAAATGGCAACACTCTTTTGAACTGTCTGTCGTGAATCTGATGGTTTGTTTGGATCTTTGTTTACTGGTTCAGTCTGTACTATTTCCAAACTGTCCTCCACAATTTCTATAACACCAGGCTGGGAATTTCTCCCAGTAGCACCTTGGCGACCCATACCTGACCCTAGTCTAGGAACTCTTTCCCATGGGTCAGGGGTCAAGTAACTAGTTTTGTAACTATCTGACATACTGTGGTGATCATCTGCTCGATCCACTGATGGACTTCCTGGGTGCATGTACATTCTTTGTCTCTTTCCTCCTGGACTCCCTGGCCGTGAAAACTCTGAAGCACGTTTGGTAATTCTGTCATGTGTAGATTTAATGATGTCTGATGCTCGGACATGGCGAAATTCAACTAAATCTTGGAAGGAGTATTTGTAATTGTGACCAGGCTGAATTGTTACACCCGTTTTTACTTTAAGAGATTTGTAGAAGTCTGCACAACATTTGATAACACCATCTACTTGTAAAAGTCTGGCTACTTTCTCAACATCACGAACATTTTCTTCTGTTAACATCATGAAGCCTTCATATAGATACTGTAGGAATGTGTTGACGGATTCTTGTTTGATATCGGCTGCTAGACGAACTTCTAGATGTGAACCTGCCGATGCATTTTCCATGGACTGCAGCATGGGACAAGCTGCTATCAACACTAATCTATGGGCCTAAAACATAAGTATAAGGGCATCATCAAAAGCTTTCAAAATGAATTATTTCGCATTTTCTTACAGTAAGATATTCTTAAAAAGATAACATTGCCACTTATCAAACAAAAAAAGGGGAAGGAACCATTTCAACATTTTATTGTTAACATGAATCTAAAAGAAGGCATTAGTTCATCCACGCTCATAAATGACCATGACTACAATTGCTAAGGACAGTATGGTGCTTACTTTTATGGTGATGGACCCAGCCCTGATCAGCGCATCACACAGAAGCTGACTCTTCCACAAGTGTGATAGCTGACAAAGTAGGGAACTCGAGTGAATCTGGTTGGAATAGAATTTCTGATAACTCATCTTGAAACTGTGCTTGTTTAACCTGTAAACAAAAAAATCAATTTGTAAACAATATTTATATAATATCAAAAGTGTGTGGATAGGTTTTTAATCCATTTCATTTAAAATGAAACCATCAGCATTTATATCTAAAGCTTTCTCTAAAGCAAGTTACCTCCCTTCATCCATCAACCCCCAACAAAGCCATCTTTATTTCTTTGTCTGCAACATATGTTTGAATTTTGGCCAATTTCTAGTAATTTTCAAACCTGCAGTAAAGAGATATGCCAAGCATAAACTATAAATTCTGTAAACATATGTAAAGGGCAGATACAGACAGTTAATTTCCTTTTTTTTTCAATTTTTGGAAATGCTGATAAGGTGCAGTCTTTCACTTTAAATGACTTCCTGAATGGAATGCTTAAATAACTTTAATTTGAACTTATTTGCTAAAAGAAATGCTATGGAGTTTGTGATGACTTAAAAGCAAACTCTTCCATGTGGAAATTTGTTAAACATTTTACAGCTATGCTGAAAAGCGTAGAAGTTCCACACAAATGGGAATCTAAAAATGTTAGGAATTCTTTTGATCAATTCACATTCCATTCAACAGCAGTAATGTGTACAGTATCGTTATGATTTGTGCCGTTATTTTACAGTAAAAATCTAATTCCAAACGCCACACCCCAGATGCCAACCCCACAAGGGTCTCTCCAACTTCACCAACCCAGTTAATTCTTGTCAATGTTCTTCTTCCCGCACCATTCATCATTAATAGGCTTTACCGATATAAAAAAAATCGTTTTGTAAAGATTTAAAGAATGGAAACAGCATAATTTGCATTGTGGACCCAAGTAAATTTTGATTTAGTACTTAAATCGTGTATTGATGCCGCGTAAGAAACGACGCAGATAAAGTAAGTTTCATCACACCGTTAATTTCATGCAGGATGCCGGGAACGGCAACATAATATTAAAATATCTTTAAATCGTACCATTTAATGACCAACTGTTGTCTAACCATTGAAACATTGTCGAATAAGGAAAAATTATGAATACATGAACATGGCAAAAGTAATTTCAAAGTTTACATCATGAACAAATCTGCAGGAAAAAATGCGAATAATTTTGAACAAAGCTTTCAAAATGGCTGTTCCCGGTGAACAGTCGGGGCTAACTGTTCACCGAGACATTGACATGGAATTTTTAAGTTATGATTAAATACTGCGTCACAATAACTTGCCTGAATTAGGGAAAGAAAACGTTTGGATAACGATGCAATGTTTTCGCTAACTGCCTTTATCTTCCGATAAAATGATGCTTCGTTCTTCGCAGATTCAACTATTCCTTGGACCGGTAGCCATTGTGTTGTTCTATGGACTAGAGCGGGAAACTGTGCCACACCGTCTCTGCGCAAAAAGTCTGCGCAGATAACACGTTTATAGACTCATTATAATTTTTTGTCGGCATGAGGTACCTAGAAGGGGTTTAGCAAATACCAACACTTAGCATACATCAGTAAAATGATCTGACCCCTCTCTTTCGGAGACCGTGCAATTTTCTCAGTAGAAACACGATTTACTTTTTGATTGATTTAAGTTTTGTCCAACACGACAAACAGTGATTAAAACAACAAATATCTCTATCAAGATAGCATTATCTTATTTAAAAGAGCAAAAATTGTACTGTATCATACAGCTGTTTCGTTCTTCTGCCGCGTCAGTGATCGGTGGTGAAACCAAAATTGATTGAATGATATACCCAGAATAAAAGATGAGGATGTGCGCTTGCCTCATAATATCTCAAAATTTCAAAGAACATCGAGTACGTGTGTACTCACGGACGTTTCAAATATTTTTTTTTTTAATGCGTGGTATATCTAATATAGGCCACGGACTTATATACACAAGGGGTTAGGCTGATTAAAAAAAAAATTATAAAAATTAACAGGACATATTATGGTATGGGGTTGTCCGTCTGTCCGTCGTAAACTTTTGTTTGTCTGTAGATCTCCTCCTACAGTTTTCAATGTGTATATAAGTCCGTGATATAGGCCTATATGGTCAATGACCAATGAGTGATACATTGGCGTTACATTAGTGTTAAACTAGCAACACAGTGGTGGTATGATGTACATTGGTAGTATCGGTATTGGTGACCTTTGATAATACACCAGTATAATAGTGATACATTGAGAGCAAAGTTTATGATTTTCTGGCACACTGGCGATACAGTGACAGCACACCGGCGATACAGTGACAGCACACTGACGATACAGTGACAACACACTGGCGATACAGTGACGGCACACTGGCGATACAGTGACAACACGCTGATGATACAGTCACAGTACACTGGCGATACAGTGACGGCACACTGGCGATACAGTGACAACACACTGGCGATACAGTGACGGCACAATGGCGATGCAGTGACGACACGCAGGTGATACAGTGATGGCACACTGATGATACAGTCACAGTACACTGGCGATACAGTGACAGCACACTGGCGATACAGTGACAGCACACTGGTGATACAGTGACGGCACACTGGTGATACAGTGACAACATGTTGGTGGTATGTTATGTTACAGTCACAGTACATTGGCGATACAGTGATTTGGACACATATTGGCGTATACAGTGTAGCAAACTGGCGATGTATTGACAGCATATTGGTGGTATGTTGGTAATAGTATATTGACGGCACACAGGTGATACAGTGACAGTACACTGGTGGTAAGCTAACGGTATATTGGTGGTACAATGGTGGTGCATTGCTGGTATGTTGGTGGTATGTTGGTGTTATGTTGGTGGTGTATTGATGGTATATTGGTGGTACAATGGTGGTGCATTGCTGGTATGTTGGTGGTATGTTGGTGTTATGTTGGTGGTGTATTGATGGTATATTGGTGGTACAATGGTGGTAATTTGGTGGTATATTGGTGGTATATAGGTGATATTCTGGTGGTATATTGGTGGTATAGTGGTGGTGTATTGATGGTATATTGGTGGTATGTTGGTAATATGTTGGTGGTATATTGGTGGTATATTGGTGTTATGTTGGTGGTATAGTGGTGGTGTATTGATGGTATATTGGTGTTATGTTGGTGGTATAGTGGTGGTGTATTAGTGGTATATTGGTGGTATGTTGGTTGTATAATATTGTTTAGTTGGTGGTATATTGGTGGTATGTTGGTGATATATTGGTGGTATGTTGGTGGTATATCGGTGGTATGTTGGTGGTGTATTGGTGATATGTTGGTGGTGTATTGGTGGTATGTTGGTGGTATATTGGTGTTATGTTGGTGGTATATTGGTGTATTGGTGGTATATTGGTGGTATGTTGGTGGTGTATTGGTGGTATGTTGGTGGTATATTGGTGGTGTATTGGTGGTGTTTTGGTAGTATGTTGGTGGTGTATTGGTGATATGTTGGTGTTATGTTGGTGGTATGATTGTGGTATATTGGTGGTATGTTGGTGGTATATTGTGGTATATTGGTGGTATGTTGGTGGTATATTGGTGGTGTATTGGTGGTGTATTGGTGTTATGTTGGTGGTATATTGTGGTATATTGGTGGTATGTTGGTGGTATGTTGGTGGTGTATTGGTAGTATGTTGGTGGTATGTTGGTGGTTTATTGGTGTTATGTTTGTGGTATATTGGTGGTATGATTGTGGTATATTGGTGGTATGATTGTGGTATATTGGTGATAAGTTGGTGGTATATTGGTGGTATATTGGTGGTATGATTGTGGTATATTGGTGATAAGTTGGTGGTATATTGGTGGTATGTTGGTGGTGTATTGGTGGTACATTAGTAATGCAATTATACATATGGAATACGGTGTTTGAACCAATAGAAAATTGATAGTTAATGGTATTTTTTACATAAATTCCTGAGATCCACACCGTAGTCAGAACAATTAAATCCCAAAACCGATAACACGACATGCATTGATACGATTTAGATAGTGTTTGTATTTTACACGTAATTGCTTTTAGTTTTTTTTATATCGATGTTTAGTAAGTGTCGAGGACAAACACATTCTACATGTATAATAGGGTATTAATTGCCACATCAGCACCCTCCGGTTAGGTGTCGAGTGACGTCATTTGTTGGTACCAACATATAATTAATATATAAATTTTGAAGATGGAATCACCTGCTAGGTGTGGTTGGATACAATCTGTTAATTAGGTGACATTTAGTGTGAAGTACTCGGTAATTACCGTACCTGTGGTGCACTGGTAAGGTGATTAGTGTCAGTATGTGTACAAAGATGGCAGCAGTAATACCGGGTACGATGGTAATATTACCAACCGGTTCAAGGTAGGATTAACAATGGAGAGAAGAGACAAAGCAGACTTCTAATAAATGTCTGACTGTGTTATGATAAACCTGTTATTCGATAGTAATTTACAGAATTATGGATAGTAAATGTTTGCACGATTGCTCGTCCATCCGTCCGACTACAACGGAAATATATTTTTATGGCTTATGAGTTTTACGCTCTACGCCCGATCTCGGCCTGTGGTGAGTCTAAGTAAGGACTTGTCCATTTGCAGTGCCGAAACGTTGGTATAAAGTTGGACCGGGTCTTTGGTCAGAGTCTGTCGCCATACGTTCATTAACGTCTCTTAAAACCTATCTATCCAAACTGAATACTGGTACTGTGTCTATTCTTATTGCTGACATCCGTGTTATCTGTAACATTTGTGTTTTTCTACAAACTTCGAGATTGCAGGTAGTAGACGCTGCTAGTGGACTTTTCGTCAGGAGTTTTTTCCCCGGTCGCCTGAAAGGTTTCAACATTTAAGGCCCCTAGCAAGAGCTGTACAACGTAACTACACTCGTTATTTCGCTCTTCCGTAATTGATTGTAAACAAGTTATAGACAAGTGAGTCTTATTGTGATACGTGTTACACAAAAATTGGAATTAATGGTATGTGGATTTTAAAGAACTTTTGACAAATCTTCAACACCTTCTTTTTCCATAAGCACATTTGACTTGTCTATTATTTGTACTGACATAACGTTTTCTTTTTATGATAGTTATTTTTTTCTTTTCAGAGAAAGATAAGCGGCGCTACAAGTATATGGAGGTGAACTATACTGAAACGTAACGTAGTACGTGAAAAAAGGAGGAAATCACATTAGTGGTCGAATTTCTGGTTGACAACATCTTCGTCCAGTTTGGCGACAAGACAGACTACTGAGCGCGGCCCGTGTTCATGAGACCATTCTCATGCTCAAGCATAAATTTTGTGCTCAAGCAGACTTTTTTTTATAATCATATAAATCATATAAAATAATACAAATGTCAAATATAAACCTTGAATATAACTTTGACTTAAAGTCCTTTCAAAAATTTATAAAAATCTTTGGCAAAATCAGTCTTATTTATTATTTTTAACTTAAACAAGACATAAGGCTTGGGCACAAAATTCATGCTTTAGCATGAGAACGGTTTCAGGAATACGGGCAGTACTAATAGGAACATATCACGCAGCTCTCTTGGATAGCTGGTGTTTGTTTTCATTTGATTCTGAATTTATCGAATAGCGTTACAGGTCACCAAGACCTCGAAAAGTTCCACAAGTTCACTTTCAGGTATAATTTAAATTTAAATACCAAAGATATTTAGTGATCATGTCCATCATATATACCCACCGGATATTTTTACACGTCAGACTCGTTCACATTAGTCGCTTTCCTCAGTAATTTCCTTCAATGAAACCACGAGGGATAGCTTTCCAACGAGCTACATGATACACATGGTTATGTAGCAGTAGGTTCGATATGGAAGGGCTTGTTTCCAATATCATGATTTTCGTAATATCGACACCTGACAGATTACGTGGACGTGTTAAGGTCGTCACAATGATCTCATTAGGAACTATTTTGAATGTTATGAAGTAGGACGTGTTTGGTTCTCGTTAGTTTGTCTGTTGGTTGTCTAGCTAATCCTCGTTAGTTTGTCTGTTGGTTGTCTAGCTAATCCTCGTTAGTTTGTCTGTTGGTTGTCTAGCTAATTCTCGTTAGTTTGTCTGTTGGTTGTCTAGCTAATCCTCGTTAGTTTGTCTGTTGGTTCTCTAGCTAATCCTCGTTAGTTTGTCTGTTGGTTGTCTAGCTAATTCTCGTTAGTTTGTCTGTTGGTTCTCTTGCTAGTTCTCTTTAGTTTGTCTGTTGGTTCTCTTGCTAATTCTCTTTAGTTTGTCTGTTCATTCTCTAGCTAATTCTCGTTAGTTTGTCTGTCGGTTCTCTCGCTAATTCTCTTTAGTTTGTCTGTTGGTTCTCTAGCTAATTCTCGTTAGTTTGTCTGTTGGTTGTCTAGCTAATCCTCGTTAGTTTGTCTGTTGGTTGTCTAGCTAATT